TAATAACAACACGAAGTGAAGACAAATCAACCACACGCAACGAAAGCGCATGGTCCACCTCTTAGCTTTGTGAGCTAAAATTCAACTTCCCAGAAGTGCGAGACCCTTTAACAAGAATAACGCACTAAAACACGTCAAACTGAAACAGTTCTTGTTGTGCTCTCTCTCGCCTTGTTTTTTGCCCGCAGCCTTCAAATCTGAACGATCGGACCTTGCTCAATATTTTCTCCAGAACGCATAGTAACTGCTCTTCGCTGTCAGTGCTGTTTAAGTAGTGATCACGCTTAAATCAGATTATGCCCACCCCCAGGACGCCGTCCCTTCTCCCAACCCGCCTGTGCCCACAATCCTCACAAGTCATACTTTTATTATAACCCTAACGTTATGACGACACCCGATGGTATGCTCTCCACAGGTTGAGAATGCATGTGTTGTACCTCCGGAAACCACCTTATGAATACTAAATGCGGATAAAAGCAAAGTAGAAATGCTGTCTTTCGTTCAAAAAGCGGGAACGGGGTGAAGACAAGTATAGCACCTCCTTGGGCGAAGTTCTTTCTACATATTCTGAGATCCATCCATCAGACTGTGATTTCATTGTACCCAGGTCACCTCATTGTCTAAATATACAAACACACAACCACTTGCTCCAAAAATTTCCTCAAACTCTTGTTCAGGTATACCTTTAACAATAAACTTTCCTGGCCCAAACCACCATCATCATGAAAAGCATAACATCAGCGTTTTAGCCTGCATTCTTGCTAATGCGTTAAAGTATGGGTAGCATAGGCAAGCTTATAGGGTGTTGATCAGATGGTCATTCATCTGTTTGCCGGGCTTGGCAATTGGCTTGCAAACTTTTCGCCACCGTACATGTAGACACCATCAATGCGCAGTTTGGTGGGCGCGCAAACTGTGCACTGATTATTTATCTTTCCTGACTGTCCTTCCGTCTTGATAACCACAGTGAATCATGGGTAGTATCATCAAGATCTTCTACCACCGCTTCTCTAAAGTAGTTCGAAACTGTGGCTAATCTCCTATTCTTGCTTTTTCAAACTTGCTAGGCATACCACTTTATAACTATCCTTCTGTCCCTTTTTTCCAATATAGCTATGCCTGTCTATCACACAGGGCCCTCAGTGTATTTGAGGGCATCCTAGCCTTGTATTGGTCTAGTTCTTTCACACCTCCAAAGCTCACAATGACACATCATACCTAGTGAGTGGCCCCAAATACTCCGCACAGGGACGTGTATTTACCAGGCCTTCCATTGATCGAAATGCGAAGCGAGGTGACGAGACTGTGACTGCTGTGTGGTCTGATGGACTGCCAAGCTTTTACCACTCCCGTGCTGTTTATGGACACAGCATGTTACCCATCCGAGAAGGCCCGTCACAGTCTGTTGCAATTATGCCAAACGTTTGATTTAGAGGCTATTTTGGAGCGTTACTGGCTAGTGTTGTTCATAAATTTACTTATTTTTCCCTTGAAAACCGTACATTCCTACTCAACACCGGCGCTGCCTGTCCCAAACGGTCTAAAAAGATTCCCTGATATGAGAAGCAGTGGTTGCACATGCTTTCAACTTGACGTGGAATTTCATTGTGAAAAACTTGTTCGTTCTTCACTCTACCTAAGGGTGGATCGTTTTTTCTTTTGTCCTTTGCAATCCTGAACCGTTCAAGATCCTCCTACTTTTAACACACACGAGCGTTACTTTGTTCATCAACATGTAGTCCATTTTTCTGAGACACAATTAGAATCTATCCTAGTGTTCGGACACCTGTTGTGTTTTAGCAGTTATAATTTACTCGTGCTACTTTTGGCAAGATCCTGCATGTCGGAACATAGCCAATTTTATCTGCCCTTGTTTCACATAGTTCTGGATACCCACAACCGGCGTTCCTCTTGTTTTTCAGGCGTTAAGTTTTTTACCATGCCTAACGTCACACCGCCCACCAGTGAGAAATAAACACAACCACTGTTGAATATATTGAATTGAGGCAGATGCACATAGTCAGCAAGTTTGTGTACTCCTATGGCGTATTCACAACAGGGAATTTTCTCCATTTCGATTAAACAATATGCCACTGAAAATACATCGAATCTGGTGAGCAGTGGGACATCGCCGGTGGTTCTGAGCCTCGCCTTTAAATTCGGGAAATGATAAAAAGATCACCGCTGTTTTCTGGTTGTTCCTGCTGGTGTTGGCCTCGCCTCGGTTGAGTTATTTGGCAACGCTATAAACAATAACAAAAATTGGCCTTTTGCCTATCTAAAAGTATTCAATAAGAAATCATTATACCTGGGATAGCCGGAAGAAATTCTGCGATGCCCATAGCCTACGTTGACGTGGATGGCTGTAGCTGCCTTCGTCAATATCGAGGCTACACCGCACCAAAACCTACCTCGTCAACCAAACAAAAAGACACCAAATTTGCTGCTCCCAGGAGTGACACATACAACACATATAAACATACAGTTAGACTTCCGACTCTCCACTGTCAACATCCGAGGATAGCATCGGAAGTCTTCTTCGTCACGCAACACTCACTGAGTAAAGCTGATGGTAGTGCTTCGGGGACTGGTGACCTTCTCCCTCGAATTCAACTTCCTTCCTAGATCGTCCTGGTATCGTCCATCTCACTAACAACCTACAGGAATTTACGTCCCCCAGTCGTTACGATAGTTTGTTTTACCCTCACCACACCGCCTCTTAGCCCACATGCAGTAAACTGTCCTGTTTCAGGTAGTATAGTTATATTGGCACCCTTAGCTTGACTCCGATGACTACATTACTGAGTACAGATTCATCCTTATCCTGTCTTGTTTAATCATCTGATGTCCTTCCATAACTGTGGTAGACGTTCATTTTTTCCCCTATTAAAGGACTATATCCTGTCTGATAACCCCTATA